GAGACAAGACAGGCTTTCTGATCAAGTCTCGTTTATTGAGGAAGTGAGCAAGGTCTAAATAGCTGTATAGTGGAAGCAGTTGGGTGGGACTAGTTGCAGATTGGTAGCAGAGTTCCAGGACCACAGGAAGATGTCGAGGCAAGCGGGGACTGGTGCTGCAGCACTTCTTGCCCAAATAAGGGAAAATATAATAGGAGCATTCTATCGCTCCCCCACAAGGAACAACAACTGTAGGGGTGTTTATTTTTACCTTTGCAAAGTTAGTATCAGGAGACTCAAGGTTGCCTCACAAGTAATAGCCAAAGTCATGCAGGCAGGATGCTTTTCTCAAGACTGAGGTAGCTTGACTGCGTTAGGCACTGAGGCCTTGTCCTGTCCTCCCACATATGACTTTCCAGCTTCAGCAGCTCCCAAGTGAGAGACCAAATAGTTCTCTTAATTGGCAAGATTTGCTGCCTTAGTTTCTCAGGGCTTTGGTCATTTTCACAGGATTTGTCTCAAATGTGCCTCCTCTTCTTGCACCCCCCCCCCAAATCTGTGAAAACCCAGTCAATGCAGTGATCCAGAAGAGTCCTTGTCTTCACTCCCAGCGAACTTTGACCTTCTGGATTCCCCCCAAAACATAGTGACTGTCTCTTTTTATTTAAGTCTTCACCATACCTCATTTTATGATGTTGAAGACAGGACAAATGCACTATACAGGGAAATTTTTCACATTAACTTTATCTATAAAAGTTGAATGTGATTTGATAACTGCCTCATTTATTTTATTAGTGTGTGAGCCCCACTCAGCCCACCTGTGGGCGGCCCTGGCACAGCATGTGCTGCCAAGGATGGAACGTTGGTCCCTGTGCTTGCCTAAACAGGTGCTTTTTCGCAGAGCTAGCTCCCTGGCCTCTCATTTACTTTAGAAGCAGAAAATTTAGAGTTAAGAATCTGGCTAAGCCAAATAATGTCATGGGGTCTAAAATATTCTTTACATGACTGACCAAATCATTATGTCTACTAGAAGCAAAAACAATTTAATGAAAGGCCTGAGAAAAACAATAAGGAATGTACACAAAACAGATTAATCAAGAGAAGAGTAGAAAAAGCCACAAGTCAATTAAAGCCAAAAATAGACTTTAGTTTTAAACTTGTAGGCTTAAATATATAACAATATAGAAGAACTTTCTGGATTTGGTAACAATGCCCTTCCCAGTACTTCCTGAGAGAAACAGCCAACAATGTCATTTCATCACTGACTACAGATTAATTCTTACAACAACAAAATGTTTCACAAAGTTCTTTTGGATTAGGTGGAACACTAATAACTCCTGCTTTGCATACTAATCACAAAGGGTGGACCCTAAACCAAGAGAGGAAGAAGGAAGTCCAAAGACTTTAAATACTGCCACTACTTCTCCTAGCCAGCCTAGGGGCCTGTGCTTCCAGAAATCATGAAGACTCTCCTTCTTGTGGGGCTGGTCATCCTGTCTGGGACCGTCCAGAGCAAAGTCTTCAAAAGGTGTGAGTTGGCCAAAACTTTGAAAGCAAAAGGAATGGATAACTACCACGGAATCAGTCTGGCAAACTGTAAGTCAGCTCTCCCTGGCTCCATACTGGTTCCATGAGAAAATGAATGGTCAGAAGGGTTTTGTATGAAGAGTTTCCATGTGGAGTTCGATACTTACAATGTTAAAACGTGACTTGCTCCTTTAGAATCTGAGACACCAGGTGATAGAAGGATGTCACAGCGGAAAATACTTTTCCGCTTTCTCTTCCCACATGACCTGCTGTGCTATGCTAGGACCTCTAGATTTGTCAGTAGCTACAGATTCAGTGGCCTGAGAAGCCACCGTAAAGGATACGTTGATAGACCCAGTTTGGAACTTGGGATCTAGGGGACACAGTGCTACAGAAGTATTTACCACATTCTCTACCCTGACATAGATTCTGTAGCAACAAGAATTTTAAAAGTTACATTGGACTAGTAAGAAGAGTGTAAGAACCTATTTTCCCTCCAGTCACTTTATAGAAGAGTTCCCTACAGTTCAGCACAATGTGTTGTCCTGTCATTCTCTCTACTCTGCCTATTTTTCCTTGACTTTCACACCGTTCATGATGTGCCACAAAGAACAGTTCCTAAACAGCTTGCTCCTTATTTGTCAATGTAATCTCTTAGTTTTCTGACTACTTAAACATTTCCCTATCAATAACTGTATTTGAATGAATGAAGCCGAGAATAGAAGAATGGATAAATGGATGCATAAAACTAGACTAACCCATTCTATTCCCTAAGACTTGCTTTGAAGAATCTGCTTGACCTTGAAATTGAACCTTAGGGACTCTAAGAAAAATTTAACCCTATGAAAACTTCTGTTTTTCCTAATAATATGCATTTTCTTGTCAGCCTATGATGTGCTGTAGATGTACTAAATGCTCTCAACAGCTGTGCTGATTTTTCTACTCTAAGCCGAATATTGGCTGAGCAGTGAGAACCCGGGAGGTATGACAGCATTGGAAGACACAGTCATCTTCATGTATTTAAAGTGTTCTGTCTTGCTTCATGAGCATTCAAATTTGAGACACATTGTGAGAGATTCTCTGAGAGACCCTATAAAAGTATAGTAGTGGGCTAGGCAGAGGGGCTCATCCCTGGGCTCCCAGCTACTCAGGAGGCTGAGGAAGGAGGATCCCTAAAGCCCCACAGACCAGCCTGGGCTTCATGGCTACATGCGGGGTCACAACAGTAAGGAAAAACTAAGGTGTAAAGTATTTGATAAGTTAAATACAGCCTATCCTGGTTCTTCTAGTGTAACTCACTGGTAACGTAGAACTGCAGGGTAGCACAGACCTGCAAGCTCAGAACTCAGGAGGTGGGGGCAGGAGACCTGCCATGATTCTGAGGCCAGTATGGGCTTCTGAGTGGTTTCAAGTCCAGCCTGAACAACATGGTAAGAACCTGTCTCAAAAGAGGAAATAGAATGAGATATAAAGATCTGACTTTGATACACAGTGTAAAGCATTTAGTGTTACTGTTTAGGATTAACAATGATTTCCTTTCAGGGATGTGCTTGGCCAAGGCAGAGAGTGATTACAACACACAAGCTACAAACTACAATTCTGGAGACCAAAGCACTGATTATGGGATATTCCAGATCAACAGCCGCTATTGGTGCAATGACGGCAAAACGCCTGGAGCTGTGAATGCTTGTGGCATACCCTGCAATGGTAAGACAGAGAGCCCTGGAGAGTTGGCCAGGACCCATCTGCTCCAGA